AGGTGAAGAACTTCAGCGGGGTGAAGCGTCTCCAGGAGAACAGGCACCTTGCGAAGGAGAAACGCACCATGGAAGAGGACCGCCTCATTGAGATGAAGCGCCTTGCCAGGGTGACGCACATCCCAGAGGAGAAATGCCTTCCAGACAATCTCCTCAAGAACTGCCTCATGGAGAAGTGCGTCATTGAGGAGAAGCGCTCCATGGAGAAGCGATTCATGGAGGAGAAGCGGCTCCGTGAGGAGAAGCGTCTCTCCAGAGTGAAGTACCTCGCAGAAGTGAAGCGTCTCCAGGAGGAGCATCTCAAGGAGAAGCGCTTTGTGGAGGAGCGCATCATGGAAGAGAAGCGCCCCATTGAGGTGAAGCGCCTCGCCAAGCTGAAGCACCTCACGGAGCAGAAGTGCCTTAGAAACAAGATCCTCAATGACATGAAACGCGTCATGGAAAAGCGCCTCCTTGAGGAAACGCGCTTCATGGAGGAAAAGCGCCTTCGCGACGTGAAGCGTCTCAAGGAGAAGCATCTGGAAGAGAAGCGTCTTGCCAGGGTAAAGTACCTTGCTGAGGTGAAGCGCCTCGCCATTGTGAAGTATGTCGATGAGGAGAAGCGCCTCATAGAAGCTAAGCGGGTCAAGGAAGACAAGCGCCTCATGGAGAAGCGCCTCAGAGGAGAGGCGGGTGGAGGAAGAGAAGCGCCTCATAGAGGAGAGGCGGGTCAAGGAAGACAATCGCCTCTGAGGTGAAGCGTCTCATAGAGCTGAAGCGTTTCGAGAAGAAGCATCTTGAGAGGCGCCTTGGCAAGGTGAAGCTTGTCGAGGAGAAACGTCTCATGCAGAAGCGCCTCGAGGAGCAGCGCCTCGCCAAGATCGAGCAACACTGCCTCCAGACCGCTACCACCAGCAGCACCACCACCAATACCACCTCCGCCGCCACCACCACCGCCACTCCTGTGCAGGGCCCGATTGCTCCGAGCTTTGGAGAAGAGGGCTTCCAAGAAGAAAAAGTAAACGCTGGAGCCGCTGATTCACGGTAAACCACTCTTGCATGTGTCCTGTGTGTTTATTTTCATTTATTATCATGCTTGTTTAGGCAGGATGAGCCTCACTAAGTCTCAAGACTTTTTTCAGGAGGGTCCTGTCAAGTTTGCTCGCAGTTGGTAACAAAGTTTCTGCTGTTTGTGATCCAAATGGAGCGATTTGCATTGATTGTGTGGGTTCAGTTACAGGGAGAAAGCTGCTGAATCTTCCTAGAACAGGGGGCACCACATTCCACACAGATAACGTGGCCCAACGTGGAAATCAAACCCAGGTCCCTTTTGCTGTGAGGCACAGGTGCTCCAGCCCTGCTGCACTCACAAAATATACAGACACTGCAAACCCCACGTGTACATTGCGCTATACTGTGGACAGATTTACTTTCCATAATTGGTTTCTGGGTGAGACCAGATAACGATGCGGCCATATTTCACCATTTAACCCTCCATCCACAGTGATAATTTCGCAATCTCATGCCTGTTTCCAGGCCAGTTGACAAGTTGCCTTGTAATGCACAGACACAGCGACCACTGGGAGGGGTGTCCAATTTCAAATGCGTTGAGATGAGAGATGTGAGTGGCTCATTGCGCTCAATGCACTCTGAGATGCCTTCGACGTCAAGGGAGGCGGCTCTGTCGACCTCAAATCACTGTCGGATCTTTTATCGAAATCGTGGATGGGTTGAAGCAGCCAAAGGATCGCGCACTCATCGCTCACCACTTACAGTTCAGATCTTGCTTCCTGCCCTGGCTATTACTGCCGCTGCATTAACCACAAAGATACACACCCATTCCATCACAGTGGACGTTCATGATCTCCACCGATGTCAGTTTAAATGCGTAGGCCATTATGTCCAAGGGATCAATTAGAATACACATAGAAAGATAAATGTCACTACAAATGATTCAGCTAAATTGACACAGCAAGGCCACTCACTACTGTGAAACTACAACAGTCTGTGTGAGACACAGCTGAATCAATCTCAAGGATAGCCTTGCCCCATGAGAATGACAGCGCCAATGCTAAGCACACTCACTGGCCATGTCGTTATTGCTGTTTGTATTAAGCTTGAATTAATCCGCCACGCATTACACCCACGGACCATGGGAGATGGCGATGTCTGCCGTAGCAGGAAGGTGGAACGGTGTCGTGTTTGTCTCTTCACAGATCTGAGCCAAAGCAGCCCTCCTCCCCACTCGTCCAGGCCTTTGAAGCGAAGTCAGAGGTTGTGCAGAAGGAGACGAAGGAAGAGGTGAAGGAGATGGAGAATGAAGTAGAGACGGAGGAAGAGAAGGCAAAGGAGGACGAGATTGTGATGGCGACAATGGAGGAGAGCACGGAGGGAGAGGATAAAGACAATACGGAGATTGGAGGACAAGGAGACAACAAAGGATGAACAGATGGTCGTGGTGGAGGAGATGGAGACGATGGACAAAGCGGAAACAATGGTGGTGGTGGAGGAGGAAGAGAAGAGGGTGGAGGAGATGGTGGTGCAGGAGGGTGAGGAGAAGATGGAGGAAGAAGAGATGGTGCTAGTGGAGGAGGAGAAGAGGGGATGGAGGATGAGACAGAGGAGAAGATGGAGGAGGTGCAGGTGGAGATGCACGAAAAGAAGAGGAAGCGAGGGGGCCTCGCTCGCATGGCGAGAGCGTTCACCTCACTCCTCCGCCACATGCTACTTTGTGGAGGCAGGTACACCGCCCAGTAGGGGTGGTGGCCGCGGATCGGCGCCAACCGTGACTGCTATCACCACACGACCCACGGTGCCACTGGGACCACAGCTGGGGGATGAAACTGAGCAGCAGATGCCAGTACTGCAGCGGAGAATGACTGCTTCCAGGACACCTCACATCACACACACACACACACATGGGACTATTCCATTAGCATAGCCGGCCCCACACTGGGCCCCTTCCATGCTGGTTTTCATCCAGGCGGTCCTCATGCGATGACCTTGCCATGGTTTCCAGGACATGTAAGGGGCAGCTGACCCAGAAAGAGACGGCTGCAGGGGTCTGGTGCAGACAATGAACAAAACCTGCACGTGCCAAGTCTTAAGGCCACCCGGTTAAGAATTAGGATCAATATTTTTGTTGTTGTTGTTACTATAAACTTTGTGAAATCAACTCATGAGGACACAACGTAATGTTGCATTGCTTGCGAGTGCTGCCTGGGTTGGTTAAATGTGCCTTGGCTCGTGTGTGCCGTGTCCCGGCTGTGTGTGCGGCGGGACAAGGACATAGATAAAAAGAGACGTTTTGGGAAATGGTTCTTCTTCAGAGCACATATTCAGATGATTCGCCTTCTTCACGACAAATCCACCCCTCATCTGCCCCACTGATCCACTGCTCCAATGCCCCACTGCTCCTTTGCTCCACTGCCTCATTGCTCCATTGCTCCTCTGCTCTATTGCCCCACTTCTCCACTGCGCTCTGCTTCACTGTCCTGCTCCACTGCCAATCTGCTCCACTGCCCCTCTGCTCCACCATCTGCCACAGCAGTTGAAACAAGTGTAAAAATGGGTGCGCCACAATCGAGCGGCAAGTTGCATTTGGTGGATTAAAGAGAAAGGAAATGCAGGACTGTGCCACTGCTCCACAATCCCAATTGCTTTGGAAAAATATTTAAAGAATGCTGCTGCTCACTAAACAGGTTGCTGCTTATGTCTTTAACGTGGGGGTGTTTAGAGGTGGCCCATGGACCTTGCGGTCATAGCACTGAATTGGCACCACGGAGTACCTGGGATTGAATCCAGGCAGTCACCTGTGATCAAAGCAGATTCTCAAGTCGAGCGAGTTAATGGTCTCAGCCCGGTCATCATTCACTGCACAACATCAACTATCACATGGCTGCAATGTGGTTCTCCATGTACTTAGGATAAATTCCAGCTGTAAGAAGTAATAACATTGTTGTGACCAACGTTGCTCTTAAATAAAGAGCAGGTGGGAAAGTCCTGCCCTTTACAATGTGGACCAGACAGCACTTGAAGGGTACTCAGAAGTAGCTACATGATATTAGTTTCAGTGTGCCATTCTCGAGCACAAGGCTTGCATCATCATCACCACCCACCAACATTGCCAGCCATCTAACACACCCACACACTCACCATAATACTCACACACCCACACTCACCATAATACTCACACACCCACACTCACCATGACACTCACACACCCCTACCATCCTACTCTCACACACGTCATGAAAGTCACACACGCACCATTACTCACACAAACCTATAAACTCACAACGACAACAGCCGTAATTTTCCACTACATAATGGTGATATCACAACAACCCAGGTGCCATGGGTTGACTGCTGTGCCAGGCTATGTGCAGGAGGTCACGAGACAGAGCCAGGTGTCATGGGTTGACTGCTGTGCCAGGCTAGGTGCAGGAGGAGGTCATGGGACAGATACTGATGCTATGGGTTTGACTGCTGTGCGACAATCCCACTTGGGCGACAGCCAAGGCCAAAGGTCGGAGTGCAGCCAGTAAACTCCTGAACCTGCACCACCTAGAGAGAAGGGGACATGGAGACATGGGGAGAGAGAGGAGGGAGACACGGGGAGAGAAAGGAGGGAGACACGGGGAGAGAGAGGAGGGAGACACGGGGAGAGAGAGGAGGGAGAGACGGGGAGAGAGAGAGAGAGGAGGGAGACACGGGGAGAGAGAGAGGAGGGAAACACGGGGAGAGAGAGGAGGGAGACACGGGGAGATAGAGGAGGGAGACACGGGGAGAGAGAGGAGTGAGACATGGGGAGAGAGAGGAGTGAGACACGGGGAGAGAGAGGAGGGAGACACGGGGAGAGAGAGGAGGGAGACACGGGGAGAGAGAGGAGGGAGACACGGGGAGAGAGAGGAGGGAGACACGGGGAGAGAGGATGGAGACACGGGGAGAGAGAGGAGTGAGACACGGGAAGAGAGAGGAGGGAGACACGGGGAGAGAGAGGAGGGAGACAAAGGAGGCACCTTGTAGGCCAGGTGACTCCTTTGTCTCCCCCCCACCAGCGCCACTGCTGATGTGTCCACACCGCGCTTGGTTCTTACATTCTTCTGGCTGAGTCGACGTAGAGGAGGCCCAGCCAGCGAGCCGCCACTTCAGAAGCTCGCGAACCACCAATGGTGGCCGTGAGAGGGAATCCAAATCAGCCTCTCGCCACCCACAATGCACAGCGCCGCCTCCACTTGCCCCGGCCTTAACGGAAGTAGCAGCTGGGGGGGGTGAGGGGGGTGAGGGGGGACATGGGGGGTGGCGCAGGGGGAGTTATGGGGTTGAGGGGTTATTCATAATAAAGGTTAATTTGGGTTAGTCTCCAACACACCGATGTGCTAAAGTAGAAACTAATTGGCACTTTTTGTTCACGTGACAAACTTTATTAATTGGCTGTATCGGTGTGGTGATGGGTTTTAAGACACTTTATATTCACACGATCTTACCGCAAAAAAAACCCTTTATTATGGGATTGGAGAAAGTTAGGGGTTCAAAGGGTTAGGGGGTTGGATTTAGAGGCATAGGGGTTTAGAGGGTGAGGGGTTTAGTGGGTGAAGGGTTTAGAGGGTGAGGGGTTTAAGGGTTAAGGGATTAAAAGGTTAGGGTGTTAAGGGTGAAGGGGATTTGAGGGTTATAGTTTTCGGAGTATAGGAGTTTCGAGGGTTAGGGGTATAGAGGCTTAGGTGTTTATAGGGTTAGGTTTTTAGGAATCTATGGGTCTGTGATTAACAATGAACCCTTTGGGAGACCCAACGATTAACACTGAACCCTATGGGAGACTCAGTGTGTAACATTGAATCCTATGGGAGCCCCAGTGATTAACAACGAAATCACGACGTTTCGGAGGCAACACAAGCTTCCGTCTTCAAGTGGCACCGTCAGCAAAATTACTGCTGTGACGGTGCCACCTGAAGACGGAAGCTTGTGTTGCCTCCGAAACGTCGTGATTTAATTTATTTTTATTTTATTTTGTAACCTACGTGACTTTACCGAAAAAAACAAAGAATATGGACCCTTGCAGTCACGAAAACTTCAAATCTATAATTAACAACGAACTCTATGGGAGTGAGTAACATTAACCCCAAGGGAGCCCCAGTGATTAACACTGAACCCTATGGGAGACCAAGTGATTAACATACTCTTAGTACTTTCGGTAAAGTCATGTAGGTAAAAATTTTAATTTCATTTTTTACCTACGTGACTTTACCGAAAGAACTAAAAGTATGAATCCTTGCAGTCACGAAAGCTTCGAATCTATAAGTGATTAACACTCAACTCTATGGGAGACCAAGTGATTAACACTCAACACCATGGGAGCCCCAGTGATTAACACTGAACCCTATGGAAGTCCCAGTTATTAACATTAACCCTAAGGGAGCCCCAATGATTAACACAGAACTCTATGGAAGCCCCAGTGATTAACACTGAACACTATGGGAGACCCAGTGATTAACACTCAACCCTATGGGAGCCCCAGTGATTACACCGAACCCTATGGGTGGCCCAGTGATTAACAATGAACCCTATGGGTGCCCCAGTGATTAACACTGAACCCGATGGGAGCCTCAGTGATTAACACTGAACCCTATGGGAGACCCAGTGATTAACACTGAATCCGATGGGAGCCTCAGTGATTAACACTGAACTCTATGGGAGACCCATTTATTAACACTCAACCCTATGGGAGACCCAGTGAGCAACACTGAACCCTATGGGAGTCCCAATGATTAACACTGAACTCTAAAACCACCCACTCCCGAGTTTAAGTGGGTGAGTGAGTGTGTGGGTGAGTAGGTGAATGAGTTTCTGATTGAGTGGTTAGGAAAGTGGGCGAGTAGGTGATTTATTCAATGAGTGGATGAGTGGGTAAATGAGTGGTGAGTGAGTAGCTGAATGAGTTTCTGAGTGGGTTAGTGGGTGAGTGAGTGGAGGATGAGTGAGCGAGTGAGTCTCCGAGTGAATGGGTGAGTGATTGAATTAGATAATGATTGACCGAGTTGCTGAATGAGTGAGTGACTGAAGGAATGAGTGGGGAAACGAGTGAATTGGTGAGGGAGTGGGTGAGTAAATAAGAAAGTGAGCGAGTAGATGAGTGAGTTTTTGAGCGAGTGGGTCAGTGATTGTAGGAGTTTCTAAGTGAGTGAATGAGTGATTTTCTGAGTGCATGAGTGAGCGAGTTAGTGAGTAAGTGTGGCTGATTGAGTAAATGAGTAGATAGGTTAGTGAGTGAGTGCGGATGAGTAAAGGAGTTTTTGAGTAGGTGATTTGGTGGTTGACTGAGTTTCTGAATCGGTTAGTGGGTTAGTGAGCTTCTTCGTGCGTCTGAGTGAGTCTGTGAGTGAATGGTTAAATGAATGGGTGAGTGAGTCAGTGAGTGAATGCTTGGATGAGTGAGTTTCTGAGTCAGTCTGTGAGTGAGTGGGTGAGCGAGTGGGTGAGCGAGTGGGTGAGCGAGTAGGTGAGCGAGTGGGTGAGCGAGTGGGTGAGTGAGTGGATGAGCGAGTGGATGAGTGAATGGATGAGTGAGTAGATAAGCAAGTGAGTCCACGAGTGAGAAAGTTGTTGAATGAGTGGGTGAGCGAGTGGGTGAGTAAATGGGTAGGTGAGTGGAGGAGTGATATTCTAAGTTGGTGGTTGAGGGAGTGGGTTCTTAAGTGAGTGGAAGAGTGGGTGAGTGTGTGTGTGGGTGGGTGATTTAGTATATGAGTGATTGATCGATTGTGGGTGAGTGAGTAGGTGAGTGAGTTTCTGAATGAGTGGCTAATAGACTGGGCGAGTAGGTGAGTGAGTGGGTGAGAGAGTCTCCAAGTGAGTGGGTGAGTGAGTGGGTTGTTGAATGAGTGAGTGGTTGAGTGAGTGGATGAGTGAATGAATGAAATTATTGAGTGGTAGGTGGATGAATGAGTTTCGGAGTGAGTGGATGAGTGAGCGACTGAGTCTGTGAGTGAGTTAGTCAGTGAGTGGCTGAGCGAGTGGATGAATAAGTAGGTCAGCGAGTGGGTGCGGATAAGTGAAGTAGTTTTTAAGTAAGTGGGTCGGTAGTTGAGTGAGTTTATGAATAAGTTAGTGGGTGAGAGCTTCTAAGTGAGTCTGTGAGTGATTGAGTCTGTGAGCAAGTGAGTCTATGAGCGAGTCTATCAAGAGGGAGTCTGTGAACGAGTAAGTAAGTGGGTGAATCTGTGCATGCATGGGTAAGTGGGCGAGTGAGTGCACGAGTGAGTGGGTGAATTCTTTTGTGAGTCAGTTTCTGAGCGTGTGAGTGAGTGAGTTTACGAGTGATTCTGTGAGTGGATGCACGAGTGGGTGAGCAAATGGGTGGGTAAATGGGTGAGCGAGTTCTTGAGTGAGTTTCTGAGTGAGTGGCTGAGTAGGTGAGAGATTGGGTGAGCGAGTAAGCCTGTGAGTCGTTGAGTGGGTGGGTGCACAAGTGGATGAGTCTGTATGAGTCTATGGGTCTTTGTGTAAATATATTGTCCGTGTTTCGACGGGTCTTTGTTTGAGTTAATTGGTTTCTGTGTGAGTCAATGGGTCTATGCGAGTCTATGGATCTATGTGCGAGTCTTTGGGTCTCTGTGTGGTGCACATAGCCTGGCATGTGAGTGGGGGGTACCGTACCCCTGTGCGTATGTGTAGTGGGGGCACCGCAACCCCGTATGTATGTGGGTGGGGTACCGTAACCCTGTTCAAGGGGATCTCCCCGCCCCCACCCCCGGGGCAGAGGGAGGATCATGAAGGTGGACCCGGAAGTGCTCGGCTTGGGAAACAAACCATCCTCCTCCTGCTTCTTGTTGTTGTGCTGGGGGGGATGGGTGTGGAGAGGGAGGAAGGGAGGAGGAAAAGAGGAAACTAAACTATTTAAATTTTTCCAGGTAATGCCCACCGTGCTACACAGCTCTTCTTCAGACGGGAAAATGCCACAAATGATAGGTCAACGAAGTGGCCTATCATCACGTCGACATTTATAGAAACCAAACACTCTGAACGCGACCACGGGGAGAGAGAGACATGCAAACTCGAAATATATAGCAGATGTGAGGGTAGGGATCAAACCCACGATCTCCTGTATAACAGGCGAGGTAGTTACGGGAGAAAGGAGAGGGATAAAGAGTTCCATAATTCTTTAGAAGTAACCACTCGGCCACGCCGAGAGGGATAGAGGCAGGGAAGTAGAGGGTTGGGGGAGAGTGAGGGGAGGGCAGGGAGAGGGAGGAAGAGTGGGTAAAGGGAGGGGGGGGGAAATAAGTCAAGCTCACAGTATTGCTTGCACTCACCATGATACAATCACCATCAAACTCACACTGTCACATACCATCACTCACATACTCACCATGATACTCACACACCCACACACACTCACCCTCATAAACACACCCCTACCATCCAACTCACACCACGACATGATAGTCACACACGCAATCACCATTACTCACAAGCCCACAAACTCACAACGACAATGGCCGCCATTCGCCACTACGTGGCGGTAATGTCATCACAACAAACCAGGTGCCATGGGTTGAGTGCTGTGCCATACTAGGTGCAGGAGGAGGAGGTCATGGGACAGACCCAGGTGCCATGGGTTTACTGCTGTGCCAGGCTAGGTGCAGCAGGAGGTCACGGGACAGATCCTGATACTATGGGTTGACTGCTATTAGATAATCCCACTCGGGTGACAGCCAAGGTCAAAGGTCAGAGTGCAGCCAGTCAACTCCTGACCCCTGAACATGGCCCATCCAGAAAGAAGAGAGGGGATGGAGACACGGGGAGAGAGAGCAGAGGTAGGAGGAGAGTGTGTGGAGGAAGCGAGAGCTCCTATAGAGATGCAGGAGGTAAAGATGGCCCAGAATCAATGACGACTGCAAGGTATGCTGGGAGGCAAGGTCATGTGACCACAGGGGCGGCAGTGCTGGTTGGAGCAATCGTTTTTGGAGCCGCATGGGCAGAGAACACGGAACCCATCCTTCATCCCAGCACCTGCACCAACCACAATCACCACCACAACTAAAACCAAAACCATAAAATAACCGCAACGATAATCATACCTCCAATTAGCACGGTCGGCTGGGTAGAGTGCGATTGAAGTTCAAAATAATACAACTACCATAACAACCATCATAACCACCTCCACCACAACTATGTCCACTACAACCACAACCTACACAATTATAACAAATATAACCAAACACCACAGCCGCACATATAACCACAAATTACACAACCACAATTATAACCACAACCTAAACCACCACAAGCACCACAACCAGAGCCACAACTACCATGACAACCAACATAACCATCTACACCACACCTGTAACCTCCACCACCACTACAACCACCTATACAACCAAAACTAAAGCCATGATCATCACAACCACCACCACCATCACAACCACCACCACCATAACTACCACCATAACCACCACCATAACCACCACCACAACCACCACCATAACCACCACCACAACCACCATAACCACCACAACCACCACCACAACCAAACAACAAAAACATTGACGCAGATACTACAATACCACTGCATAAATGGTCTGTATCCCTCTGTGGGTGAGTGAGTGGCTGAGTGGGTGGGTGAGTGAGTGGCTGAGTGGCTGAGTAGGTGAGTTAATGAGTGACTGAGTGGCCGAGTGGCTGAGTGTGAAATGGACTCGAACCTGCACCTCTGCATTGCAAGCCCAGTGAGCTCACGCCCCGCGTGTGTATCGGGGTAAAGTGCGGGCACGCCCAGCGTGGAAGAGTAGACCAAACACTCCACATCGCGGCCTCTAGTCGAGGCCATTTCTGCCACGACAACAAATCCGCCCCTCCAGAGACACAAACAACTAAATGTAACTCATCCCATCAGCCACAATCTGGCAGTGCCTCTCCTCATCATCATCAGCAGCAGCAGCAGGGCCGTTAACTCAGCAGGCGCCTCCTCTGCCCCCCCCCCCCCACCACCGCCACTGCTGCTGCTGCTGCGTCCACAGCGTGCAAGGTGCTCGCCTTGTTCGGGCTGAGTCGACCTAGAGGAGGCCCAGCCAGCGAGCCGCCGACGGTGGCCGCGAGCGGGAATCCAAACCGTCCGCTCGCCACCCACAATGCACAGCGCCGCCTCCACTCGCCCCGGCCTCAGCGGAAGTAGCAGCGGGGGGAGGGGCGGGGCGAGGGGGGTGAAGGGGCGGGGCGAGGGGTTGGGCATGGGGGGGAGGGGCTCCGGTGGGGGGAGGAGCTCCGCTGAGGGGGAGGGGCTCCGGTGGGGGGAGGAGCTCCGGTGGGTGGGAGGGGCTTAGGTCTGCGACGTCATAGTGGGCGTGGTCACTTGGTACCGCCCCCTCGTGTCTCCCTCAGGCAGTTTGTCCGTTAGAGAGTCGGGGGGAGCATCTGGCGAAGGTGAGAAATGGTGTGAGTCTGTGTGTGTGTGAGTCTGTGTGAGTCTGTGTGTGTGTGAGTCTCTGTGTGTGTGAGTCTGTGTGTGTGTGAGTCTGTGTGTGTGTGAGTCTGTGTGTGTGTGAGTCTGTGTGTGTAAGTCTGTGTGTGTGTGTGAGTCTGTGTGTGTGTGAGTCTCTGTGTGTGAGTCTGTGTGTGTGTGAGTCTGTGTGTGTGTGAGTCTGTGTGTGTGAGAGTCTGTGTGTGTGAGAGTCTGTGTGTGTGTGAGTCTGTGTGTGTGTGAGTCTGTGTGTGTGTGAGTCTGTGTGTGTGTGAGTCTGTGTGTGTGTGAGTCTGTGTGTGTGTGAGTCTGTGTGTGTGTGAGTCTGTGTGTGTGTGAGTCTGTGTGTGTGTGTGAGTCTGTGTGTGTGTGTGAGTCTGTGTGTGTGTAAACATCGCCACTAGGGAGACAAAGGCGGCCGGGCGTGGTGCTGGCCACCCACCCCCTCGTGTGCCGTTCTGCCCTTCATAGGTACTGCTGGCTAACAGCACTTGCCCCAACAGTCTATTTCAGCTATAAGGGGGATCTTTATCTTTGTTGTTAGTGGTGGTGGTGTTGTTGGTGTTGATGGTGGTGGTATTGGTGGTGTTGATGGTGGTGGTCTTGGTGGTGTTGTTTGTGATGGTGGTGTTGTTGGTGGTTATGGTGGTGGTGTTGGTGTGTTTGTGATGGTGGTGTTGTTGGTGGTGGTGGTGTTGGTGTTCTTCGTGGTGGTGTTGGTGGTGGTGATGTTGATGGTGGTTTTATTGTTAGTGTTGGTGGTGTTGATGGTGGTGTTGATGGTGGTGTTGTTGATTGTGGTGTTGGTGGTTGTTGTGTTGGTGGTGGTCTTGGTGGTGGTGTTGGTGGTGTTGATGGTGGTGGTATTGTTGGTGTTGGTGGTGTTGATGGTGGTGGTGTTGATGGTGGTGTTGTTGATTGTGGTGTTGTTGATTGTGGTGTTGTTGGTGGTCGTGTTGGTGGTGGTGGTCTTGGTGGTGGTGTTGGTTGTGGTAGTGTTAGTGGTGTTGATGGAGGTGATGTTGATGGGGGTGGTGTTGGTGATGTTTTGGTTATGGTGTTGATGGTGGTGATAGTCTTGTTGTTGTTGTTGGTGGTGGTATTGTTGGTGTTGGTGGTGTTGATGGTGGTGTTGATTGTACGATCCATCCTGGGTTTAACCAGGCTGGATTGTGTGAGGGGCTCACAAATGCTTGAAAGATCTGGAGACATTCCCACCAGTAAGCTCCTCCAGCAGGCAAGGCTGCATTGGCTGGGTCTTGTAGACCGCATACCCAAGCAGTTTATTTTGGTTGCATAAAGGAGGTTAAACGGGCACGACATGGGCTGTCAAAAAATATGGACTGATGCTGTATGGGAGGATGTGGAGCTGAGTGGACTTGCAGAAGACTGGTATCAGCGGTGTGGATAGCATCCTTCACGAGGAAGCTCGTGAAGGATCCCACGGGCAGTAGGAGGCAGTCGCCTTCCAACAACAACTGAGGACAGAGGAGTGACGCTCACAGCGAGTAGCGGATAAAATTCAACAAGTTGGCACAGTTGGGGATACAGCTGGTGTATCTGCCAGTCATCTCAGCCAACCTTTGGAACCTGGGTCTATCCCGTGACGTCTTGTCAGCCTTCGACACTTCACGTGGACTAAAAGTGCACCTGGCCCGGTACAGACGCCGTGGTGTCATCACCCCTACTTAGTGGCGAATGTCGGTTGTTGTTGTTTTTGTATTTCGTCTTGTGAGTGAGTGGTGATGATGTGAGTCTGTGTTGATGATGTGGGTTCATGGTGAGGATGTAAGCCCGCGTTGTGACTTGACTCGTGTTGAGATCTGGAAGCCCTCACTCCCCCTCGACTCTTTGTGATCCTCGCCTTCGTCTCCTGCTCCGCACGCAGAGACCCGGACTGTGCGAGAGACGCTGTGAGATCTGTGCACCCTGCTCTGCAAGTTGCTACCATGGAGGTACGTGTGGCTCTTCGACTCGTGTGGTGAAGTATTGATGGACGTGTGCTCTCCACTCTGAGTGTGGCTACCTGTCGCTATCCATATACCTGAGTGTACATCGACTTGCCTGCCTGAGTGTGTGTGCATCTATCAGAGTATCTCCCCCGAGATCCTGTCTGTGTACCTGCCTGTCTACACGTGAATAATCTACAGTACTTTTATTATCCACTACTGGATGAAGGCCTCCTTCCCTGAGTTCCTGCTACCCCTCACGATCCTGCAATGGCATAATCCACCAAGCACCGATTTTGTCACTCCATCTTTCTGGAAGCTGTCCTCTCAAACGTGCTCCGATACTTGGCTGCAGCTCCGTTATTCTTCTTGACCATCGGCCATCGTTGTTCCTCCTGGCCGTGGCATGTCCTGGCCCAGGCCCCTCTTCTCTTAACAGTTTGAAGGATGCCATTAACCTGTGTGTGTCCTCTAAATCCACACGTGTCTCATTGTAATACCCAAGTGTGACATCAGATATTGGCCAAATATCCCAACGCTGAGAACTGACACAACATCTTGGCAGGACCCTCCTGTTTGTGGAGCCCAGGATCTCAGAGATCCTGGCTCAGTGCTCGCCTCCTGCACTTTCCTCAACATCTTGCTAAAGTTTACGTGGTGGACCTTTGTCTTTGTGTGTGTGTAGATGAGCCGAGCTAGAGAGGCGAGGAGTAAGGGCGAATCTTGCACCACGTGGAGTGCGCTGTCCTCAGAGGGCACCGCCTCCATCTGCAACAAATCACCGCAAGGTAAGAACAGTAATGAGGGACGTCACAGAGGGCCATGGTGAATGGTGGAACATCACAATGGCCATGTTACATGGTGGATGTCACAGTGGCCGTGATGCATTGGAGATTTCATAGCGGCCATGATGCATGGGTGATATCCAGGTGGCCACGTTGCATGAGGGACTTCATGTTGGCAGTGTTGCATGCGGGACTTAATGGTAGCCATGTTGCATGG